CGCGGCGGGGCCCGGCTGCGGGGAGGCCTGGGGCTCCGCGGGCACCGCGTGCGCCTTAACGCTCCCCGGGCGTAAACCTGGCGGGGAAGGCTCATTGCTCCGCTCTCCCCAGGCCCGTGCGGAGCCCTGTGCCCGGAGGAGCAGGGGCGGACGGACGCACGGAGCTCTCTGCTGACAACGGCGCTGAAGGGCTGCCCTGAGCCTTCGTCCCCTCGGCCTCCTCAGGTACGTGTGGCCTCCTCGTCCCGGGGTGAGGAGGGAGGAAGCCGGCCAAGGCAGCCGGCCCTGTTTCCACCATGTCGAGCGAGCCTCGAGCCCGCAGTGGGATGCGCCCGTTTGTTCTTGTGCCCTTTTGGGCTTCTCTTCTTCTGGATGAGCTGTCCCCGAGGGTGTAAATATGGACAGTTTCCTCTAAGGAAACCTCCTTGCTTGCTGGGGTGGCACCTGAGCACGGAGGAGCTGGGGGTGATGGCTCCTGGGCATCCAGTTTCATGCACCCTGTTTAGGTGAATAGCAGAACTGAGGCACACGCTGCTCCCACCTGCCCCCTGTTTGTGCCCGTGTGATGTTTGCAGTTCCCGTAACAGAGAGTAGTAGAAACAAGGGCCAAATTTAAACCTATAGCTGCACTGAAACCGCTGCCTATATGTGGTTTGGTCTGCCTGCAGACACTCGAAACCAAAACTCCCAAGCAAGCTCTTCCCTGAGGTAGGTGACAAACAGGGCAGTAGATTGGGTGTCAAGTGACACACTCTACAGTCCCATCTCTGATGTGCCTTGTGTGCCTCGTGCCTGTTTTCTGTGCTATTCTTGTCTCTTTCTGTGGCAAAAAGACGTAATGATCTCATTTAGGACTTGCAACTATGCCTGTAACATATGTCAGAGGCAGAATTTTTCAGTTGTCATTTAACAGTGTCACTACCAATTCTGTTTTGTTGAAAAATTTTCTTTTTAGGCTTCAACAAGGTAAATAGGTTTCTTGTCCCTCTTGCATAGCACATCTCTTGGAGTCACTGCCTGAGAATAATCTCCAGAATTGCCTTAGTTCTTTGCTTATTATGATACTGGCGTGTTGTTTTAAATGCATTGATAGATATTCTTAATGCTTATTTCTTTACATCTTTGAAGCTATATGACTATGAAAACCCATTGCCCAATTAGTGCATAAAGAACCTCTTTTTCTCCTGTTCCAGTTTCAGGGGCCCTTAATGCACTGCTAGGATTCTTCTGAACATTGTGCTTTGGTTGCTAATGTTATATTTCCCAAGAGCTCCTATTTTTGCTTAGTGTCCTTTGCTAATGGTCAGCACTCAGCAGCAACTGAAGAGGGAGCATGTGCAACAGTGTCTTTCCACTAAAGCTTTGATGGATGTTTCAAAGTTGCAAAAACTGGAAGCACTGGAAGTTCGGAGGTTGAAACTGTCTTTTTTCATTTTTGTTTGGTAAAGGGTGATGTTCATGGCTTTCTCAGCTACCTTGATTGACAAGTCTGTGGCTGTGTGACCACAGTGGGTTAATCTGAGCTATGAAAGTTACCCCTGAAACAAGCCAATGTCCCACATGGGACATCATTATTGGAGACCAG